AGGTGAGGAGGCATACGTGCCAAAGATACTGCTTTTTGGTTTAGAGGTGATCCTTCTTCTTTTTCCAAATACATTCGATCTTCTTTTTACTTTTTTTCCTAGATATATAAAGAATTATTCTCTCTGTATGTGCAATGCCCCTGGTAAATACTTATGTTCTGAGTCTACATTGTTTTGTCCAATTAAAATATGAGTGCAAGATTGATTTATTGATAGTTGGAATGCTGATTAATAAAAGATATAGATTTTTTTATGTTCATCTTGTGCCGCTTAGATATCAGACTATCCGCTCTGATATAGGCAACAACAACAACAAAGTCTTTATGTCCCAAACAAGTTGGGGTAGGTTAGAGTTGAAATCCAGCAGAAGCAATCAAGGTTCAGGCACGTGAATAGTTGTCTTTTAAGCACTTATATCTAAGGCTAAGTCTTTGGGTATATTTCATCCTTTCAAGTCTCCTTTTATTGCCTCTACCCAAGTCAACTTCAGTCTTCCTTTGCCTCTCTTCACGTTACTATTCTGGCTTAGGATTCCACTACGCACCGGTGCCTCTGGAGGTCTCCGTTGGACATGTCCAAACCATCTCAACCGGTGTTGGATAAACTTTTCTTCAATTGGTGCTACCCCTAATCTATCACGTATATCATCGTTCCGAACTCGATCCCTTCTTATATGACCGCATATCCAACGCAACATATGTATTTCCGCGACACTTATTTGTTGAACATGTCGTCTTTTCGTAGGCCAACATTCTGCACCATACAACATAGCAGGTCTAAGCGCCGTTCTATAAAACTTGTCTTTTAGCTTCTGTGGTACCCTTTTGTCACAAGGACACCAGATGCTTAGCGCCACTTCATCCACCCTGCTTTGATTCTATGGCTAACATCTTCATCAATATCCCTGTCTCTCTGTAGCACTGACCCTAAATATCGAAAGGTATCCTTCCTATGCTCTACTTGACCTGCCAAACTAATATCTTCCTCCTCCCGAGTAGTAGTGCCGAAGTCACATCTCATATACTCAGTTTTAGTTCTACTGAGTCTAAAACCTTTGGACTCCAAAGTCTCCCGCCATAACTCTAGTTTCTGATTCACTCATGTCCGGCTTATCCGCTCTGATATAGGCAAATCTTTTTTTTGCTTGGTTCATTGCTGATTTGATTTGATTGTTCCGGTGCACATTCTGGCATATCGCTGATGGGATCCCGTCGAGGGTAACCAAAGATTGCGATTCTTGATTTCTTCAAGATTTGAATTTCATTTCTTACACAGGTAAGATCCATCTGTCCTCATGCCGGAGGAGATGAACGGCGCCGGGGGCAGCCACCACAAGCAAAGAAGAGAGGCTCCCAAGAAGATCATTAGGCACTCCCGATGCAAGAGGGCGCTGCAATGTAAAACAACAAGATACCGATCCGGTGCCAGCAGCCGCCATGACCTGTGTCGCCCCGATCCTCGCCTCTCAATTTGCTGTGAAATTTGCTCCTACAGGATGTTTGGTTCAGTCAACATGCTTATCTTTGTTAGTAATTTGTTGTCATGTGGCCTCCAGTCCACCCAATTCTTAATATATTTGAGCAGAAAATAATTTATTAAGATTTTCTTCTACAGGAGAGAGTCACAATGGCCTTGAGAGATCACACTGGCTTGACCTGACAACTTCTAGATTTTCAACATGATACAATAGATGAGGTAGGTGCAGAACACGATCCATTCATGGATTTGAAAGCAAGATTCATGGACTTTAAATAGAGAAACTATGTGTAAGTGGATCATGATGTACAAAACATATCATTCACCTTAATATTTCATGGTTGTTTTTTTATTTATTGACATTGCTTCATATATATGGAACTACGGAACAGGAGAATTTTTCAAATTACCAAAGTCTTGCTCAGCAGCAAACACCAAAGGTACATGAGAATGACTTCGATAGCAAATCATTTTAATATTGGCATTATGAGCCTTATGGGATTACTTTTGGTTTTATGTTCCTGTGTGCAGTTCATGGTGGTTGCTTGTGCGACTCTGTGGTCTTCCCCGCCATTGTTTGGGTTTCACTGGGAAGCCTTTTTACAGTTCGTAATGTGGCAAATTTGGTACAATTTTTTTAAAGTGTTTCATTCACAGTAAACAAAATGTTGCAATACCAGCATGGCGGCACATCCATGCATGAACAAGATTTTTTCCTTTTGATGGAAGGCGTCTCTACTCTGTACATATGCATAGGTCCAGATGTAGATTCCTAGAATAATGCATAGTTAGAGCTTATTTCAATACTTTGTTTCTGTTAATGTGTCATTAGGAGTTTTGGAAAGATGAGAATTTCTATATGATCCAATCTGGAGTCTAAAACGAACATGGATTGTTCAATTCTGTTTTCTATCTTGCATTTGGTTGGTGCATGGAAATTTGTTTGACATTTGGGAATGAGAAAAAAAAGTTCTTATTTAATTGTGTCAGCAGATAGGTGTGGCAGTTTGTTGTCAAGTTTGTACCTGACTATGGATGAGTTCTTGGTTATAAACATTAGGGTCTAAATTGTATTTCCCACAGTTCATTATGCTTTAATATCGCCAGATGTGTTATGTTTCAGCTAATCATCGATGACAAGAATGAGAAGCTGGTGGGCTTAAAGGAACAACTTGGCGAGGCGAGGTGTACAAGGCCGTAGCTAATGCTTTAGATCAATGAGTACATATCTGAACTCTGGAAAAGTAGAGAGGACCGAAAGTCCAGCGTAGCAGAAGCCATACATCAATGCTGGAAGCAATGGAAGGACATGAATCACTAGAACAAGCTAAGGTCTGTATTCTGGTCGCATTCGGCAGATACTTTATAAGTTTATATTATGTCCAGTCGATTCTGTGCTCTTGTATTCTTGTCACAGTTTGCAAATACTGATTTGCGTGGACACATGACATGGGGGTGTGATCATCTTTATTCTTTCTGTTTCATGACAATACAAAATTACGAGAACTGTGGGCAGTGTGCAAATTTTAAATTACTGAAACACTGTTAGGATCATAAAATGACTCCATGAAATTTCATTTGTTTGTATTCTAAAGCTTTCTTCAGTTTCATCGGTGAAAGCTTCTCTAACTTTTATCCTGCACCATCAGAGAAACGGTAAATTGATAGACAATAAGATGTTTTTTGAGCTGATGTTCAGTGGCAAACGCTTTGTATTTTGGCAGCCAGTGAAGGAGCTGAACCTGTGACAACTGAAAGAATTGACCACCGTGCTACGCTATTCATTTTGTTGTATTATAAGTCTTGTTATTGGCCATTTAATGATGAGATCATATACTTGATATATCTTGAATTTTACAAATCAATATTGGATTTATTTCATTAGATCTTTACCTGTAACAGTTGGCTAATTAAACTCTGAAGATATGCATGTTGCCTATTTAGATAGTTTTTGCATTCTGCTGCATTAGGAACAAGCGTAATGATCTCTTGAGTTTTTTAGCATTTTATTGAGATTCATGTGCATCCCTAAATGAAGCCGTCCTCTCTCTGCCCTCGAGCTTGTCAGGTCTGCGCTATCGCCCGCACCGTCGCCCTCGTTGATTTGAGGCAAATTAACTCGTTCTTTTTGCGTTGATTCGTGCTATGACATGAGTTGAAGCTACTCTAAGAGTTAACTGAACTGAATCGACTCGAGCACGTAGAAATCGATGATTTTCGTTTTGGGGGACTTTTTCGTGTTCTTGGCTCGATCTGAAATTTTCCGGAGATTAAAGTAGAAATTGGGCGACGATTCTTTCGGGATAGCTCACTAACTCCTTGGTGATTACTTGTGCAAATTTTGGGAACTATTGATGGAGTTCTTGATCGATTTTCGTTTGATTTTTGGGCCGGCTTCTCTCTGTTCCTAGAGCTCTGGCGCTCTGTTCTTCGTCGGTCTCCTGGTGCTCGTCCGTGTGAGAACCGTTGGGCCACTGGTGCAGGCAGGCACGGCGGTGGCAGTCCACGTCGTAGCTCCTGCTGCCGAGTTTGGTTCTGAGCCCCCCACGGTGTTCTTTGGTTGTGCGTCGAGCTGGTCACCGGCGACCGCGGTTCTGTGTGCTTCTCCGTGCGTGTCTGTTCCAGATGCTTGCTGCACGTGGGTATGTGCAGTACCATATCCCGCAGGTGAAATTGCTTCTGCGTTTATGTGATTTCGTTCAACTGCAGCAACCACCGTACCTTGTGTAATCAACAAAATAGTTGTACCCGTCAGTTTAAGCTGCAGCTTCATTGGATGTATTCAGTATGGGTTCGATTTGATGCTTACAACAGTGGAGTTCCTGTGCGATCGATGCTAATATTGATTTAGTTTGTAATATCGGAGACTTTGCCGATATAAAATATTATTTTAATTGTATCACGTAAAGATCTATATAATAGAGTTTGTGAGTCTACGGTGTCGTGCTCTTAGTGACTGTTAATTTCATAAACTTTGTTTTTTTTGGATTAAATATTAGTTTAATGTCTTACAGTATTGATATCTTAACGTGTGATCCGTATGTTTTTAGTATAAAAGTTTAGTTATCTCGTAGCAACACACGAGCACGCTACATATTAAAAATAAAAAAAAGTGAACAGTAGCCAGAGGCGTGAGGGGCCGGGAATTCCCGGAGCGTTAAAAAGAGTTGTTATTGTTATGTTGAGGCCATGACAAGTTCATCAATAACATGTAGTATAAGTTCGAAGACCTAAATAGTATAAAATTCAAGGCTTAGTGATCCGGATGACGGTCGTATAAATTTAGGGGGGAAATTTGGTTTCATAGCATCGAAAGATCACGACATTTGGAAAATACCACCGAAAGATGTCCGTCACGGAAAATACCACTGAAAGAATGGTCCGTTACCGTCTAATAGCATTCTGTCACGCTATCTGCTGTCGCCGTGAATCCCTCCGTCCAGGAACCTTTCTTTCCCAATCCAGTGGCTCTCCGTCTAGCACAGCTGGTCCTGGGCGATGGAGCTGCCGGCCGGCTAGCGGCTATGGACCCCCGCCTTCTCCTCCTCGCCGCCTTGGCCTTGGTATTCGTCGCGGCAGCTGGGCAGGGCGCCAAGACGGTGCTGCCGTTGGCGCCTTCCTGCTCGACAAGCGGCAACTACACCGACGGCAGCCAGTACAAGAAGAACCTGGACCAGCTCCTGGCTGCGCTCCCCACGGCGGCCGGCGACAACGGGTGGTTCTACAACGGCACCGCCGGGACGGGGGGCGACCAGGTGTTCGGCCTCATCATGTGCTACGCCGACCGCAACGCGACGCAGTGCCTGGAGTGCCTCGCTGTGCCCGGGCAGCCGGAACGTGAGCGCGGCGTACGACGCATGCGTGCTCCGCTACTCGGACACCGACTTCTTCTCCGTGGCCAGCCGCAACGAGGCCTACTACTTCTACGTCATCTAGCCCAGCACCGTCGACCAGGCAAGGCTCGAGCCTCAAGGACGCGCGCTCCAGCCTGATGAACCGGCTCGCTGCTGTTCATCACGAACGAGAGCGCTCCGCTCGTTGGCTCGTCGGACTCGGTGTACGGGCTCGCTCAGTGCATGCGGGACCTGAAGGAGTACGCCGCTGAGGTCAGGATCATCAGCCGGCTGAGGCACCGCAACCTAGTGCAGCTCATCGGCCGGTGCCACGGCGGCAGCGAGCTGCTCCTCGTCTACGAGCTCATGCCCAACGGCAGCCTCGACACACACCTGTACAGAGCCAGCGACGACGCTCTGCTTCCATGGCCAGTCCGGCACGAGATCGTGCTGGGGCTGGGGTCGGCGCTGCTCTACCTGCACGAGGAGTGGGAGCAGTGCGTGGTGCACAGGGACATCAAGCCCAGCAACGTGATGCTGGACGCCTGCTTCCACGCCAAGCTCGGCGACTTCGGGCTGGCGAGGCTGGTCGACCACGGCCGGGCCTCGCACACCACGGTGCTCGCCGCCACAATGGGTACATGGACCCGGGAGTGCATGATCACCGGCAGGGCCAACGCCGAGTCGGACGTCTACAGCTTTGGTGTCGTCCTTCTAGAGACCGCCTGCGGCCAGCGGCCCCTGGTGCGTCGCCACGGCGAAGAAGACGTGATCTACATCGTGAAATGGCTTTGGGAATGGTACGGCAGAGGAGCCATCCTCGACGCCGCTGACACGCGGCTGAAGGGTGAGTCAACGTGCTGCGGCTAGAGGCATCGCTGAGCCTGCCAGCGAGGATGCCGGTGGCAACCTACATGCCGCCGCCTGATGCTTTATACTACACATCTTCCGTTACGATAGGCGGCAGCAGCAGTACGGGCACCGACACCGGCACCACTCGGTCAAGCACGACAGAGACATCTACCCTGTTCAAATGACCAAAGATCGGTGCTTCTGCACCCCGATGATTTTGAATGTAGAGCAGCGGTGGCGCTAAGCTCCGGCCTCCGGCACGGCATCGGCTTCGACGCGTGCGGGTGCTCCGTGCTGACTGCACTCGGCTCCGGTGTGGGGAGCTCCGGGCAGGCCCTGGTGCCCGTGGCTGCGACCTCCGACGTCTGGCTGCTACGGGCAGAGTCGCGGGCTAGTGCGGTGCACCTCCAACGGCGGCGGCTTCAGCGAGCCGGGGTGAGCGCGGTTCCGGCAACGTAGGGCGTTTGGCGCTGGAGTGCTCGGCGACAGTGTTTGAGGCAAGGACAGGCGCCGGGCTTGAGCTCCGACGTCCGTGGGACGAGGCTCACCACTGCAGGCGGCCTGCTCAGGTTGACGCGACGTACACGTCGTTTTTTTAGTGAAGCGGAGTCCATGGACGGATGCCAACGAACGACGTTAACTGCGAAACTAACGGAGTGCTAGATTGCAGAATGGATATTCACTTTCAATGGTATTTTACGGTACGATGAATTTTTTATGGTATTTTCTGAATCTCATGTTCTTTCAGTGCTATGAAACCAATTCTCCCAATTTAGGGACATGAAAATTCAAGAGTTAGGTACTCCGAGTTTAGGACCGCTTCACGAATGATCACGAGCTTTCAATTCATTGTGGATTTGTTGCCCGCTAGAAACGCGAGATGGCAATTGTGGTGGAAGCCCAGTAGCCCACTCGCGAGGAACCTTTCCACAGCTTGTACTAGACTACTACTAGCAGACCTTTTCCCAGTTTTCTGTTACTGTTCCTGCCCTTGACGAATTGAAACACTCTCTGTCAGAGTCACAAGATGAGAGAGTTTGTGCATTTGAAAAAGAAGAACACAAGCTGGCGACGGCCTTGATATACAAGGCATCGATCAGTGAGGAGCAGCAGCTTCCCTCCTTTGCCTTTGTCTGGCGCGACTTCACCCCTTCCAGGTCGGGTTCTTTGCCTGGCTCCTACTGCAGAACCGGATACAGTGTAAAGTGAACCTGGCGAAGAAAGGTGTGCTCACCGATGCAACCTGTGACTTGTGTAAGAGGAACAATGAAGATGTAGGCCATGTCATCCTGAGCTGTGACTTCGCCCGCCAATTTTGGGTGAGGATTGGATGGAAAATGGAAGAAATAGGATCGGTGGAGAACCTATGGAGTGCCAACCCCCCAGATGGGACCCATCCTAAGGTGATATCATCCCTAATCCTGCTTTGCTGCTGGGATCTTTAGAAACACCGACATGACGTGGTGTTTCGGGGCCTCCACCCAAGCGTAGATCGACTGGTGGCTTGTAAGACAACTGTAGCCCTCTAGCAGTGTTGTATCCCTAGGAAATCCTCTCTCCTCTCTAGCTTCTGGAGATCAATTGTATGGATGCAATCTATCTCTTTATCCCCCTTTCGACATTGTAATTGGCACCAAGCCGACTATTTAGGGTCATTTGGCCCTCCACCCACCAAACCCTGTCTGGAATATGTGGTAATATATTCAGGTGGGGACTCATCGTCCCCTCCCCCCGTGTGTTTGCTCAAAAAAGCAAAAATAAAAAACCTGTTAGACAAAATCACAAACCCGACAAAATCTAATCTGTGTTACACAAAGAGAACTAATAATTTATAATCATTTTTATAGTCAGACAAAGACAACAATTTGATGTATTTTAACACGACAATTAACAAATCACAAGAGGACAAATACAATTTTAACAAATCAGGCGATTGATAGATAGGATTTGTGATCATTAGACAAAAACACAAACCCGTTAAACAAAACCATAAATACAATTATAAAAAAAAATTAATATAGGAGAAGTGGACAAAAAATTTAAAAACCGAGTAGTCTACGTGCGGCTGTGCTAAACCGCCCAGATTCACACGGTCAGCACGTCGCCTGACGTAAACCTAAATTTCAGGCACTTGACGTTTAAGAAAAGTGAAAAAATTAAATCTGAAATATTGCAATGAATTCTCCCAAATTTAGGGCTGCTTCAGCAAAAGAAATTGGCACATGAGGCTGACAATGTAGTTAGTTCTCGCACCATTTGACGATAAGAGAGAGAGCCATAAAATGTGCAGGTCTCCATACATACATATTACCTGGAAACCACATCTTGCAGTAGTGCACGATCCACTAGCTACTCCACTACGATCATGGAATGGCTCTAGTGATTGGAGGATAGAGGCCAGCACAAGCTCAGTGACACTATATAACGAGCTATCAGATCACAGGGCTGCGTGCCACAATTAGAGCTGTTTCCGATAACCAGCACTGGTCAGACATTTCAGACCATGGCAGCATCAGAAATGGCAGGTCTTCTCCTCCTTTCGTTCACTGCTCTGCTGCTGAGAAGTTCCTCTGTTCGTAGCCAAGGACTGCAGATCGGATTCTACGACTCCTACTGTCCGGACGCCGAGGATATCGTGAGGTCGACTGTCGAGCAGTACTACGACAGGGATGCCACCATCGCCCCAGGCTTGCTCAGGCTACACTTCCATGACTGTTTTGTTCAGGCTAGTTATACATCTTTCCTTTAGGCTACCACTTTGAGTTTCATCCTGTGGTGATATATACTATCACTCTTACTCAAGCTGCATATATAAACAGTTTGTAGGCTACCACTTTGACTTTGCATTTCAGGGGTGCGATGCATCAGTGTTGATCTCTGGAGCATCTTCAGAAAGGAGTGCACCACAGAATCTTGGGCTGAGGGGGTTCGAGGTGATAGATGACGCCAAGTCCCAGCTAGAAGCCGTATGCACTGGGGTGGTTTCATGCGCTGATATACTTGCTCTCGCCGCGCGTGACGCCGTTGATCTGGTGAGAGTCAGTCCATGTTAACTGAGCGAGAGCGAGTCTTTTACATTTTGATTGAGGTCATGTTTTTCGTAACTGTTTTATTTACTGAGAACTGATGATGAATTTACTGTGTTCTTCTGTCTTTTCTTGGGGTAAATAAATCCGTAAATGTACTGATGTAAGACTGGTGGGCCAAGCTGGTCGGTGCCGCTGGGAAGAAGAGACGGAAGACTCTCGTCAGCTTCTGGCGCCACTGCCTTGCCATCGCCTGCCGATCCTGTATCCGTTCAGAGGAAGAAGTTCGCGGACCAGGGACTGTCAGACCACGACCTCGTCACATTGGTAGGTGCACACACGATCGGGCAGACGGACTGCGAGTTCTTCAGCTACCGGCTGTACAACTTCACGGCGACGGGCAACGCGGACCCGACCATCAGCCAGGCGTCGCTGGCGCAGCTCCGGGCGCTGTGCCCGCCGCCCAGCGGCGCCCCGGGCGGGCGGCGGGTGGCGCTGGACGAGGGCAGCCCCGACGCGTTCGACGTGAGCTTCTTCAAGAACGTCCGCGACGGCGGCGCCGTGCTGGAGTCGGACCAGCGGCTGTGGAGCGACGCCGCCACGCAGGGCGTCGTGCAGAAGTACGCCGGCAACGTCCGGGGACTCTTCGGCCTCAGGTTCGGGTACGAGTTCCCCAAGGCCATGGTGAGGATGAGCAGCATCGGGGTGAAGACCGGCGGGCAGGGCGAGATCAGGAGGAGGTGCTCCAGGATCAACTGATGAGCGAGCGAGATCAGGCTCCTCCGGTCCTCCCTGCAGCTTGGGATTGGGACGCGGACGCGCGCGGCGGTTTGGCTTTTACTAATGGATCGGAGTTCATGTGCGAATTAACACCATCGAGTAGCACGGTGTAAGAAGCAGCTGTACGTTTCGTCCAAGAACAGATGCATTTTTTGGTGGTATACATCAATTATCAATCGGAACGCATTATGTGCATTTGTGTCTTTCTTTTTCACTGTGTTTCCATGACCTGAAAGCGCGCAAGTAGTTGGAGTAACACGCGACGCGTTTCTCATTGATTGCCCACATATTGTGGTAGCGAGCGGTTAGTATATTAGGCCAAAAAGGCCTATTTTTAGGCGTCGTTTGCAACGACTCAAAGTGGTTCTGCTTTCTCGCTAAAGAGCACAGAGGAGCCAGAGTCCGTGAAGAAAAAAATAATAATGACTTTATTTGTCGTTGCTAGTTCGTTTTGAGAGTTTGAGATAGGAACAACTCTTCGCTGCAATATACGGATGAATCAAAACCAGAGCCGTCAACTTTACTAAATGGGGGCTTAGAATTATGTTGTGTTGGTTTCTTGGATTCTTAGAATTTGTGTGTTAGATTTTTAGAATCTATACTAAAATATAGCTTGTCTGAATGAGATTGTCTTTGTCAGGTTCTCAAAGAGTCCACCTCAATCCAACACATGGCCAAAACTACTGCAACAACCATGTCACCTGATCAAGCGAACATGGTGCATGTGTTTGGTTGAAAACTGAACGAAAACTTATATAAATAAATAAATGAAGAATAACACCGTCGTGCGCATCTTCTCCGGCTGGCTCTGCGATCATAATTCGGCGATACGAAGATCGGCGAGAAAATTCATAACCCCTGAACCCAAGCATCCGAAGCTTGTCTGGTACTATTTTCTTCTTGCCTAAGCGCGTGCCATTCTTCTTATACGTATATACTACAGTACAATACGTGTGTTTGCAATCTCTTCCTTATACTTGCATGGTTTAGATTAGATGGTCCATCCTCGTTCAACGAAGGATCCGGGTTCAGGTCAAAACAAAGACGGCTGTAGTAATTCTCCGCTGACCCGTCCCCATCGTCGACAATACCAGAAAGCCACCGTTCAGGCCACCGCAGTGCAATGCTCCAGCCAACGTACCTTTCACAGGTAGATTCAGTCATACATATGTAATATGTTCAATTACAGTACTACTATGTGGTTGATGGAACAGTGTGTAATGTAATATGGTCAGGCTAGTGTCTGGATGTCCGGCCCTAGGCCCGTGTGCCCTACGTCGGCTCCGTTCCGCACGCCCCACCCGCTCGGATTCTGCGCCGCTCGTCCCCAAGCAGGGCCACGTCGCCTGTCCCCCGCGCGGCCCCACGTTGCCCATCCCCACGCGGGCCTACGTCGCCCGTCCCCACGTGGACCCACGCCGCCCGTCACCACGTCGCCCGAACATCATTACCATTGAGAAGAGGAGAAACCGAGGCGAGTTAGCAGAAGATGAGGAGGGTCTGGAGGGAGATGCACCATCTAATCTACTTTTGAAACATCCAAATAAAATATTTGCAACATACGTTCGAAAACAGTTGAAACACTTGCAATATACGCTGAAACACTTGTAAAAACACCTGAAAACGCTAGAAAAACCATTGCAAAATATATGCAAAATACAAATAAAACACATGCAACGTGTGTGTAAAACAAGTGCAACATTCAGATAAACACACTTGCAACGTACGTCTGCAAAAACAACTAAAACATTAGGAACAAAAGCTTGCAACTTACATTACAACCATTGCAACATCCTGATCTACTTTTGCAATATCAACATGAAACATTTGCAACATTCAGATGAAACCCCTGAAACACTTGAAATATATTCTTGCAACATGCGTTTCTAGTGCGCAATGTCACATTACTGCTTGGACGAACATGGAGCTCGATGCCGTTGCGGCACATGGAGCTCGTCGGTGCGAGGACCTGCTCGGCTGCTTGGGTGAGCACCTGCTCCGCGGCTTGGGCCAGCGCGCCCTGGGCGCGGCGGGGGACGGAGGCGGCGACGCGCCGGAGTGGCCTGGCAGGGTCGGCAGTCGAGTGCTGCGCCTCGGAGGTGGTCGCGCGCCACGCCTAGCTAGGCCAGCGGATAGAAGCAAGTGACTGGATAGGAACGAGTACATGGATGAGCTGATTTTTTTTATTTAGGAACAGAGGTGCGGGGGGTCTTGGGCTGGTGTTGCGCGGCCCACCGACAGAGCATCCTGCGGCCCAGACACCTGGTTCCTAGCGTTAGCGAATGTAATCATAGGTAGAAAAATGAAAAAAACATTTTAGGTGAAATAATTACATCTAAAGGGTATTTGGTCTAGTGGTATGATTTTGCGAGATGTCTTCTTTTTGTTATTATTATTATTGTTATTAATTTCCCACCGTCCCACCACGAAGACTCTCGATAGTTTTGTTTAAATTTTGATTTTGTTTTTTCGTCTTATTAATCTCCCACGAGACTCTCGTGGAGACTGGCACTGGCCTGCCCAATGTGGCAGCGTCATCGTCCTGTAATGGTAGTACTGGCGTAGTGCCAGTGTGCCACTGATGCACGATGATGAAAACGATTCTGAAACTCGTGCATCATGGAGACTGGAGAGCCACTTGTGCAAATTGACATGGCAAGGCATCACAAATAATCAACGGAGTTGGTGGTCTTGACACGGACCGGTGGGCCAACTTAAATAAAAAGTTTTACTACTACTCCGGCAGATCATATCAGATTAGATGTGTTTTCCATCCAAACGGGGGAAAAAAATAGCATCAGATCAGGTGACATGGCATCTCCACGCTGCTCACCTTGAGGCTTGAGCCGCTGCCTGCCTGCCCACTTGGAGAGTTGAAGTCCGGAGCAAGGGCAACCAACCACCACCTCTCCCTCTCCGGCTTCGCTCGCCAATCGGTCAACAGCCCATGGCCTCCAGCACCGTACCACTGCTGGCGCTCGCCGTCCTCTCCCTCTCCTTCCTGCACCTCTCTCTCCCCGCCTCGTCGCACCCGCTCCCGCTGCAAGCGGCTGCGGCAGGCGAGGCGTCCGAGCCCGACGATGCCGCCGCCGCAGCGCTGGCGTTGGCGCGGCGCGCGTGCACGTACACGGTGCAGATCAAGACGAGCTGCTCGTCCCCGCGGAGCTCCACGGACGCGGTGAGCCTCGCGTTCGGGGACGCGTACCGCAACGAGGTGTACGCGGCGCGGTTGACGCCGCGGTACGGCTTCGAGCGCTGCGCCACGGACACGTTCCGGGTGTCCGGCCCCTGCGGCTACGGCGTCTGCTACCTCTACCTCCGCCGGTCGGGCCGCGCCGGGTGGACGCCCGACTGGGTCAGGGTGTACGAGCCCACCACGTCCGGCACGCCCTCCACCTTCTACTACGGCGACCCGCTCCCCGACGGCGTCTGGTACGGCTTCGACCGCTGCGTCGCCGCCGGCGCCTCCTCCGAACCTGGTGCCGCGGCGCAGGCGCTGTGACGGACGCCGCCGGACGGGTTGCCTCTCCACGCGGTGGGCGCGGGAGCAGAGTGCCGCCACTCGTGGCGGTCCTGCTGCCGTGTGATGCGATGATTGCTCCGGCACGCGCGTCTGTTTGTGACTAAGTATTCATTTGCGTCGCTATTACTAGTAGTTTGTTTATTTGTTACAGTACGGGTGGATTACGTGTACGTGCCAAAATAAGAGTCCTGCTCGGATGGATCTATGTAGCACTATTATATATAGCAATAAAACCGATCCAAGAGATTTGTTACTGCGTGAGGAGTATCGATTTTTTTTTTTCATATGGTAAGCTCCGTCTAATTAGTCTGATTAGTTCCCTTCCTTTGTGGTATACGAGTGTATTAAAACTTTCCATGTAAATGCGATTTTAGTTGTGCTATATATTCTAATGACTAGCTGATAGCTCCTCATTGCGTGCATTCCTTTACCTTGACACATTTTCAGTTTTATTACGTTAGTTTGGCACCTCAATCATGGTGATTGTCGTTCTGTCGATCATTAGTTCGATGTTTTTTTATGATTATTTTTTCTGGCGTTCTAACCAGCCATGTTTCATCATGATGAAGACGACTGCAGTAAGGCATACCTTCATCATGTTGCTTGTATTGGCCATTCAATCGGCACAATGCCACCAACACAAATATAACGTCGTCAACTTCCATGCGGCTGCGGATGGCAAGACAGATGATTCGCAGGTAACAGCAGCCAACGCCAAATTTTTTTTGAAGGTCGCAACAAAGCCAAAAAAAATTGCATTGCTTCTTGTATTTCTGATCTCCCTCTCGGTCGTCTTCGCTGCAAAAAGGCATTCTTGGCGACATGGCAAGCGGCTTGCAGCGATCAGGCCAGGCCAATAATGGTCATACCGAGAAGAAGGACATTCTTGTTGAGCGAGGTCACATTTCAGGGTCCCTGCAAGTCACCGATCACCATACAGGTAACAACCATCCCAAGATTGTCATCCTGCATCCATATGTTTTGTACACAGCAAACAAGAAGCACGGGATCTGAACTTGTATTCTGCAGCTGGACGGCAATATTGTAGCACCAAACCACATTTGGACGACTGAACGAACCAACCTCCTGACCTTCCACGCAGTCGACAACTTGACATTGGATGGGAATGGCGAGATCGACGGCCAAGGTGCCATCTGGTGGGATTGCTATAACCATAAGGTAGGCTTAGCTTCATCATATATCACTCGTTTTCTCTCTCTCTCTCTCTGATCCTTGAGACTAATCTGATTTGTTTCTCATTTTTCATAGAGATGCAAAACCCGGCCTATTGTAAGTAGACACAATTTACCCTTTAATTTCTTTTCAAAAAACAATTTACCCTTTAATTCAGTTTCAGTCTCAACTAGCTATTCAGGCAGACATCTGTAAGTGTGGTACTGACGCTGGTTTCATGTGAATCAGTTGCTTGCCTTCTCATTCTGTAACGATCTATGGGTCAGAAGGATACGTCTGAAGGACAGTGCAGACAAGCACATGACCCTGTTCCAGTGCAGCCAGGGGCTCGTGGACAGTGTCTCCATCACTGCTCCAGCTGATAGCCCCAACACGGACGGCATTACTGTGGCATCGTCGAACAACACCATCATCTCCAACTGTTCCATCCAAAGCGGTAAAGAACACTTCCTTTGTGTACAAGTACACCATTGCAATATAAGCACACAAACAAATGAATAATGCGCATGAACGCCGACATTCATAAAATGCAGGAGATGACTGTGTATCAATCCTATCACACACAAAAAATATTACTGTCACTCACAGCACATGCGGGCCTGGTCATGGTATCAGGTAAGAATGCATATACACTAATAGAGACATCTACTAAGTACTGATCATCTTATTCTCTAGTAATATATGTACTGAGCTCAACTTCTGATCTTACGTAGTGTGGGAAGCCTCGGAAAATCTGAGAGAGCGAAGGTAGAACAAATTGTAGTAACTAATTGCAGCTTTGTTGGAACTATGAATGGTGTTAGGATAAAATCCTGGCAGGTAATTAAGACTCAGTGTTAATGAATTTGTAATGAGGTTACACTGCATACACTCTGTAGATATGCTTGCTGCAAACCATAGGACACGCCAGAGCCATGCCCTCTAATGCATGAAGCTATGAATGCAGGGAGGGAAGGGATATGCAAAAGGATTCCTTTTTGCGAGCCTCAACATGACAGAAGTTCGGTATCCTATTGTCATCGACCAGTTCTACTGCCCGCAAGGAAATTGTCCTACAAAGGTGAGTCATACTGAAAACATTGTCATGCTTATCGCTCAGATTTGTTGTCTAAAAGACTAAAACAAAGGTTGAAATGTATCTGCACTTTACTGTCTTTGTAGCCTGGTGGCGTGGCAATAAGCGATGCAAAATTTATTGACATCCAAGGGACATCCTCCGAGCAAGAAGCCATCAAATTATTATGCAGCCAAAATGTTCATTGCCATGGCATCTATCTCAGTAACGTTAACCTTTCTTGGGTGAAACATACTGCCCCAGCAAACGCAACCATTCTGAATGCCCATGGAACAACTGAGGGCATGGTGGTACCAAGAATACAGTTTTCACAGCCTTTGTAGCCGGTATGCCCTTCATTGCTATCACTTACAAGGAACATAGAGCTAGTTTTTAGATGACTAAAACTACGCAACCATAGATGTTCATGTTACATCATGTATGCAAATTATTGATATCTAATCATATATAAGCTAAGTATCAAGATCTCATAGCAGCAATTACAGTATCTCACATGCTTCTGTTTCCGAGCGGCCAAACATGGCGTACCTGTTGTTCGCAACATTATCGTACACGAAGTCCCTCAAGAACCTAATTATCGCAACAGAATCAGTAGGAAGGAATCACATTTTTATTCTAATATTGGTTAATTTGTAGCCCAAAACATAAACTGCACAAATTAAGCTGAGCAGCAGAGCCAAAGGATGGCTAGTCCAGTTGGTTAACTGAGATATGCTAGTCACTTCGGCGGCACCCTCCAGGTCCTGAGTTCGACTCCCAGTGGGAGCGAATTTCAGGCTGGGGTTAAAAAAATCCCCTCGCCGGTCCCGGGTGTCAAAGCACTAGTTTAAAGGAGACGGCCCATCTCACGGGTTACGTCTCCCAGTGTCGGGCCGGGGCCGGGGTTCGGGGGTTTTCTCGGCTGTGTGAGAAGGCCTCTTCTTACGTATAATGCCCGGGGGGCGGCTTGCCTCTCGCAGGTCAGGAAGATGGCGAGCTGCGGGAAGGGCAGGTTGAGGTACTCCATTATCCTCAGCACTGCCTCAGATTTGATGAAAGACCTGCAAAAATCGTGATAATATTAGCAATTCATCATACATAAACTAGCAATCAGTAGTAATCAACAACTCTTGGAGGAAGATTATGGTTGGCCACCTGTCTTTCTCGACGAGAACAACACTGGAGATGTCGTCAGGGGACCTCCCTGACCTCTGCAGGAGCTTCCTTCCGGACTCGCTCTGCAGCGGCACATACCTGATGCTCCTGTTCGTCGGAATCGCAAACCCATCCATCAGAAGAACGTATCAGCTACTGAATCGCTGTTGCTGATCAACTGGTGAATAGCACACACACCCAGCTGTGACGGAGAATTGAGCAGGGCGTCTATACCTGTTGGGGTCGTGCTCCCGCACGAACCGGACGCCCCCGTTGCAGAGGTTGCAGACGCCTGCACACAGAGCACGGCAGTTGGCAGATTATGAGATTTGATTTCCAAAGACGCAAGCGGAAAGGGAACAAGGTCTTGGGTGGACACCGTCGAAGAGCATGATGGGCCTGGTGTCGGAGGGCTGGAAGAACTCGGCGTCCGTGGCCGCCTTGATGGATTAGTTAACATGGTAATTAACCGCATTATGAAAGACGGAAAAAAATCATTGACTTATCAAATTCTCTATTGAGAGCCGTGAAAAAGATTCAACAAAAAAAAGACAGAAACAACCTCGCAGCTGCGGCCACCTGCAACCTCGGCCACCGCGCTCTTCGTGCGGCTTGGGGCTGCTGCGGCAGGTGGCCGTGCCGTCGGTTGACCTGCAGCTGCAGGGTGGGTGACGTATAGTAGCAGGAGGAGCACTGGCCGGCGATTGCCATCGTCCTCGCCTCCGCTCGGCTCCGAACTGAAGCGCTGAGCTTGAGAACAATGCGCTAGCCAACGGGCGTCAAGACTCGCGGAGAAGTGAGGGGTGCGAACTGGTGGGTGAACCGGTAAGTGAACTGTGGTGATCACCAGCACCACACGCTACTGGTGCGCCTTGGGCTTCGACGTGGGGCACCCAAGTCTCAAGCAGCTCATAAATTGGTCCGCTTAGAAACAAAAGACTAGCAAAAGAAAGAACCATGTGGAACATGAGAATTTGAGCAGTTCCGTGTGAGAATCCTTGGGGTTCTAAATTGTTTTTTTTTTTGGTTTGGCATCACTTGAAGGACTCAGCAACATGATCCCAATATATGTATAAATCTCCAGTCTTTGCAGACATTAGTTCAGCAAGGCACCATGGAACAAAGCACCGCCATATTTTTTAAGGAGAACGTTGGACTGGGAAAACATACATAGCCAAAGAAACAAATGAACTAGATGTCCAAAATGTTAAGAAACAACCAACATCCATCCATCAATCCATGAATTTGCAGAGACACTGCCATGGTGATGTAGTTGAGCAAGAACGCATGCCATCTCTCATGAGTCATGCACACGGTATTAAATTAAACAACATTAACAGAGCACAACAACAGTCGCTTGGCGTCGGTACTGTTTTCAAGCCTGCTCTTCACCATCTTCCACTTCTCCCCTCTCTTCCGCAGCAGCAGCCATCAACTCATCAAATTTGTCACTCTTTCCCATGATTATCTCAATCTGAGGGAGTCGAGGTTCATGTCAGTTCAACTCTCAGGAACAGAATAATTGCATACAGTTAAAGATAGAATGACAAAATTCAAAAACACAGTGAACAGCTCTCATTAGTAAGTACTGAATTAAGGGTATAGTCTTCCCTGACCTTGGCCTTTTGGAATGGACGCCCTCTTGATTCGTCGTTTATTTCAACAGTAGATGTCCTAATCTCTATGTAGGTTAAGACACAGAAGGGAAGATTCAGAGCGGAAAATATATGAATCATGTGAGCCATAATAATACACAGGAGACATAATCTACAAGACAAGGAGGGCCCAAGGTCTCACTCTTTTCAACAGCAAATCCATTGTTCTTCAGAATTTCTGCCACGGTCACAACTGTCGCTATGGCTGGAAACAGAATAATCAACTTCGTTAGTGTAGCCTCAAACAGTACACTGACACAGAAATTTTGAATTGGAAAGCTTTGCATGTTTTAAAGAAAAAGTAGCATTGATGCAGCAAATAAATCACATAAAGAGATCCCAATTGAGGCTTAAGTTATGTATCCAGTAAGAAACAAATATCAAAACACAGACTAAGAGCATCTCCATGAGTACTCTGTACCCCTATCCAAACTCCCATACTTAAATTCAAGGTGTATGGAGCAAAAACAACCATTCAACAGCCACCCTAAATCAACTCCTATGTTTAGTTGCATCCTAAATAACCTCTCCTCCCCCTCAAATATGGGGTAGTCAGCCCTCCCTGTGTTTGGGTTTTCACACCGATTTTACCCAGACGTGGCTCCTACCCGCCAAATCCCAGCACCCTCTCACATAAGCCGCCAAGCACAGCCCACCCCGCACAGGCGCACACGCCTTCCATCCAGCACTGCCTGTCCGTCCTACACCACTTCTGTTCTGCTGGCTGTTCCTTCTCGCATCTAGATGATCGCGTCCAGTGATCGATGCTAGAGGGAAGCAAGATTAATGAAAATCGTGGGTCCATATTGCTTATGTGGTATGTTCAGAATTTAGGGGGTTTAGATATAGGGGAACTGCTATTGAAGTGAAAGATTTAGAAGGGATAAATGTTTAGTCTACATGAGAAAATAGGGGTCCAAATTTAGAATCACTCTTGGAGCTGCTCTAGCAGCACGAACAGTCAGGAATCTACTTAAAATAAAAGCAAACTTTCTGTAATAAGACTGGTTGGGTTTTGCAACAGATGATTATGTTTTCTTTTTCTGCATCTCTAATGAATACTTCGAATACAGGAGATTGCAAATAAAAAATACACACCCAAATTACGAAACCCCCAAAGTAGCTCTCAACATTGTTCTTAAGGTGAGACATGGTGATAGACCACCTTCTAATCGCCTAAGCGATGCCTAGGCATTCACAAGGCGACATATACCAATCTGAAAAACAGCAAGAGAGCAGGATGGAGGAAGAAAAGGAAAAGGAAAAAAGAAAAAGGAGAAGGAAAGGGGCAGGGGACGTAAGGGGCTGGCCCAGCCCACTAGCCACCCTATATAACCATCCCCTGACTTGCCTATAGGGTTGCCCTCCCTCCCTGATTCATTCAGCGCCGCCACTCGTCCGCTCTCAGCATCGCCGCTCGTTTCCCATCTCCGTTTGCTGCCTGCAACTCCTCCGCTCCTCCTCCCTGCTGCTTCTTGGGCCCTCGTGAGCTGCGCGCTCTCAGATCAACTGAGCTTCTGCTCAGGTCAAGGTCTATCGTGCCTCAATTGACAAGAGCAAGTTGCTGGCCGGCCACCGGCACCGGAGCTATCAGGAATGACAACAGTGGCAGCTGCTGGGCCTTGTTTGGTTGGTTTCCCTTCCCTTCTTCCCCATTGCTCCCTGTCTCTTGCTGATTTTTAGTTAGGCAACAGGGATGCCGGTCAATTTTTAAGTGCCTAGATGCCTAGGCGATGCCTTGAAAACCATGGTTGTCAGGCAAACCCCAAGTGGAAGTGTCTGTCTGTTTGTGATCAGCCAGAGCATGATGGCCATCTAATAACAACAGTGCATTGCATATCACTTCTGACTCAAACTTGGCAAGTTTTTTTTTCATACAATATACGTATTTGGCAAGTCGCATGACTGAATTCTAAGCTGTGCTCTGCTGTCACAAGGCAAATGCTGGCTAGGAATACTAAGGGCCAGTTTATAATGGCTTCAGATTTAGCTCCTCTCGTGGAGTAGCTTCTCTGGTAGAGCCAAAGCACTTTGTAAAAAATATTTGACAAAACGGCTTCGGAGAGTATTTTTGGCTCCCCGGCTCCTTAATGGATTCAGAAGAGAAGCTTTTTTTTTTACCCCATTTGGTAGGGTTTGAGAAGCCGGAGCGAGAGCCCTTTTATAAGCCCTAGCAAAGGGACCCTAACTGCCACATAAGTTAGGGTTTTAGCAATAACCAACACAGATCCAACATTGAGAAACATAGAGAAAACAACCACACGCCGCATTCTGCATCTTGCACATCATATTATGTCGGCACATACTTAATAATAGACCAAATTCGTGGAGAAGAGGCATTGCATGAATGACAAGCGACCATGCCTAAATTTAACTCCACAACTAATAATACATAAATAAATAAATCAGAAAGAAGGGCGAAGGATTGTTACAGGGACGCACCCATTCCAAGAGCGGATAGCTCAACATCGCCGTGCTGCTGCATATACCTCTGCACGGACCGAAGCAACCAAATCAGTCAGGAACCGGAAGCGGGTGGGCAGGAATATCACGGAAGGAGGCGGCGCATAGGGGGGGAAAGGGGCAACCGTACCTTGGCGAGGTTGACGTAAAAGAAGAGGGGTTTCTTGGTGTTGGACACCTGGATGCGGTTGCTGCTGCCGCCGCCGCCCCTCCTCTGCCCCTCTCCGCCTGAGGCCGCCGCCGCATCTCCGGCGACGGCGAGGTTCTTCACGCCCTCGGTGATCTCCTCCACCACCATAGTCGGTAGCTATCTAGCACGCCGCACCGCGCCGCAACCGGATCGACGGGGTTGGTCGACGACTCCTGAGGTTTCCGCTTCCGGTGGCGCACCTCCCTTCCTCTCGCGTCTCGCGTCTTCTCGGCGTTGCGGCGGGTGCTAGTAGTGGTAGGGAAACGAGGGGCGCGGAGAGGCCCGGCCCGACGCCCCCGCGCGTGGTGGTGGGTGATGGTGCGTCGTGGGCTTGACGGACCTGGCGATGGGACGTCTCGGCCCAACCTCCTTGCCGACGATTCAAGCAGCCCAAGCGGAAGCAGCCACGCAGAGGATAGCGGTCCAATTGCCTGGCGACGTTAAGGCTCCGCTTCGACGCGGCGGCCCGCAGCTCATCCTAGAACCGATTGGTGCTTGGTGCATGCAGCATCTGTCTCGTCTGGCTTGAGCACCAACCAGCTCGCGGCGCGGAGTTGGGTTAGACCAAGGACACCAAAGCTCCCATCCCAACTCGTGGAAGCTGCGTCAATGGCAGTTGCAATAACAAATTAAGGTCTTGTTTGGATTTAATGGCGTAAAGTTTGTTGGCTAAATTTTAGACACTTTGGCCCGTTCGCTGGTCTGAACTTTGGCTGAAACTGGCTGAAAAACATTGTTCCGGCTGAAATGTTGTGAGAGAAAAATACTATTCCGGCTAAAAAAATAAGCCGAACAAGTCAAATTTAAAACAAGCGAACGAGGCCTTTATCTCTTGAGGCTCTAAACAGAAGACCTAAATTGTTGAGTAAAGTTTAGTCATCTTCACAAAAACTTGTCTTCGATTGTCAAAGGGGGCTCACATCGTATATCTGGATGATGAGTGAATGCAAGCTGAATGGAAACATATAGAGAAATAACGTGTTTGGTCAAGTTATATGAGCAAATGCAAAAAAAAAAAATAAATCTGTTTGGTTACCTGCATGAGCCGATGTAACTTGTTTGCCTGCATGAGCGGATGTAACTTGTATGGCCCCGCCGATGTAACTTGTTTGTGAGAGAAATACCTGCATGAAAAGTTGTCTTGGCATGTGAGGAGAAGCTTGTATGTCCTTTAAGATTGACGGGTGAACCCAATACCCTATCCCTACGTCTCATATTTTGAAATAAGAAACTTAGAACACATACATATTTGGGACACTAAACAACTTCCAATAAAAAAAATTCAACTACAAGTTTTTAGATCGTATTGAGAACTAAAACTTTCATATACACCATGTCAATATCTGAGATTGTTGGATAATTTTAAATTTTGAATTTCAAAATATACGCACTTACAACAATATTTTGGGACTCTAAACAGTTTTAATTTAAAATCTTTTCAACTACAAAGTTATAGATCCTATCGAGGGCTACAATTTTGATATAAAGTTTGTCTTAATCCAAACTCATATGAAAAACTTATGAATTATTTTTTAAAAAAGTCACCATGCCACATCAGCAAAAAAAAGTCTCATTTGTGGTACGGCGACACGACGAAGTCGGGACCAATGCAGACAGTGACATGTGTCCTATTTGCTTGGCTGATAAGTCATGGCTGAAAGTACTGTTGGCTAATTTGTTGTGAGAAAAAAATACTGTTCGTTGGTTGAAAAAGTATGGCTTGGGAACAGGGTGATGGTTTAGCATGCAGTGGCCGTTGCTTTTCATATATGCTCCATATTTTTATGAACTAGCGTCCTAGTTGAAAAGAGGTCGAAGATCAAGACGCAAATGTGTCAGACAAGATTTGATGAAAATCTTAAAAGCTACTCCTCTGGTCTAGTTTATAAGGCATAATATGATATAATGGGGTCGCCTAATAAGTCACAATCTGACAATTCATTTATTTTATATTATTTTTTTATGATTATAAACTAATGATTGTTGATACTATATTTGATTAAAATCTAATGATATCAAAGTTGGTATTACAATAGTTACAAATTATTGGCCAAATTATTTGTCAAAGATATAAAATTGTACGCGAAATACCTTATAAACTGCACTGAGGGAGTATAAACATTAATAACTACTAGATCATGGAAACACGTAAGTCGTATGTGTAGGTTTGTATTCACAATTGTTACAAATTTCTTAAATTTGAATGAATTTAAGAATATATTTAGTAGAAAGCAGTGGTCAAAGATACACATAAAAGACCATGCAAAGTTAAAGAAATACTTTTTATGACAGTTGAATGTTAACCCTCTTCGTTCCAAATGATAGTTCACTTTGACTTTTAAGTCAGACCAGATTGACTTTGATTAAGCTCATAAAAAATATACCAACTTCTAAACATGGAATTAATTTCATTAAGGGTGCGTTTATGGTAGGGATTAAGATTCTTGTAGAATTGTTTCGGATTCAGATTCTCTGAAGAAACATTTCATAAGATGAATCAAAATCACTTCGCAAGATCATTTGGCTGGTAGGCTGGATTCTGATTTCAAAATAAATTGTTTTCATAAAGAAAATCGTATAAATGAAAATATGCTTCTAAAAATTCAAACTTTTTTTCTAGATGAAGATCAACTTAATACAAACCATTTTAGTTTATTCCACTTAAAATGTTTTTTCTCAAAAATATTCCACTTAAAATGATTCACCACGAAAAAAATAATACATCACGGATATGTGCGAAACCACCTTTTCTACGTTCCGAGAGTTTCCAAAGCAAAGGAGAATCGTTTCACTTGTGAATAGTTTCACTGAAAACCTATTTGGCATCATTTTCAGCAATTCTTATAGGAATAAAAAATCCAAATGCACCCTAAATTCTATGTTTCTATAAAGCATTTATTTAAACTTTTCAATATTTTTTTTCTAAACATTTGACTTAGGAGAAAGACAAGGTGAACTATAATTTAGAACGGTGGAAGTACCCTAAATCATTTACTAAAACATGTCATGAGCATCATGTTTATGTGATAATACATGTGATAGAATGTGTAGATAAATTTCTTATAACTTAAAATGATCAATAAAAATGTTAAATGAAAGTTGATTCAATAGCTCATGTATATCAAGTAGGGTTGAAAACCAATTTTTATTAAACAAAAATACTATAGAACATGTGTATGATACTTAAATAAAGTTTGAAGTACAAACTTTGTAGATGACAATGCAACTTTCGCTGTAGAAAAATAACATTGTTAGCTAGTAATTCTAGTAGCTTAGAAATGGAACTTGAAATCACATTCAGCCCAAGACTTAGAAGATTCTTTAAGTTTATTGACAGCTAGACAATGCTATGTTTGGGGATTTATTTTGTGAAATTAAGTTAAGAGGTGGTGTCGTGTTTTAGCTCGGATTGGTAGCCTAATAGACCCTCTTTAGCATAGTGAAGGCGGTTTCATGTCAACCTCAATCGTTTAGTTGCTATCTATGCTTTTATAATTCGTACACGGCACGTTCTCGGGCTGGCTCACCTGGTGGACGCGGTCACCAAGCTTGGGCGCTGACGCGTCCGCGCTTAGTCGCGTGCGTCTTGTGCGCCGCCGCGTGCGGCATGTCAGTGTGGTCGCTCGCTTTGCTTTGGCCTCGGCGCCTGGCCCCGCCGTCGCGGCCGCAGCTTGCCGCTTCTTCGCCTGCGCAGTGTTGCGGAGGAGCCGCTGCCGGCGCCATCACCTCGTCGTCGCGTCCGCACTATTGCCCTACCTCGCGTTGCCGCTACCGACGCCACTATGACACTATGTTGCGCTGCTGCTCGCCTTATCCCCGCGCGCACGTGGGCTGTCCCGTCTGCCTCGCGCCGTCGCCTCGCCTTAATGGGCACTGTGGCCGCTCATGTCGCTCCCACCCAGCCTTGAAGCGAGCACGGGCAATCTCTAGTTTGGAGTTTTTCCTCACCGCTGTGCCATTAAGGCCGTGCTCGGCCATGGTCGAGGGCAGCCCTTCTACCGTCTCTCCCGAGCCAATTCGCCTGCACCACTAGCTTCGCCTTGTCTCTCTCTCCATCTGGCTCACGCCAGTGGAACCGCTACCGCCTCCCCGTCATCGCTGACGCGACCGTGCCGCCGTGGTGCTCGGCCGCACGTGGCCAACCCTCCTCCGCCATCCTCCACCCCAATCGTCACCTCGGCCTAATCCATGGTAGCCTCCTTATGCTCACACGCTAACCAATTAGGCCTATAGCTACCCTAGATCACTAGAACAGTGGCACCATCATCGCGGATGGCCACGCGCCGCTGCAGTGTTCCCCAGCAAGTCATGTCACCCCGCACCACCGCTTAGCGTAGCCTCTCGGGTTGGAGATGGTGACCGGCCCGTTAGGTGGTATACCGTAGGTCCTAGGTGGCCGGCGCAGCCGCGCTGTGTCACCGGCCGCCGTGTCGCCGTGCGCTGAGTCACCGGGGGTGTGCGCAGGAGAATTCCAGGAAAGCCAGGGAGTTAAGTGCAAAGGTTTGAGAGAGGGGAAAATATTGTTAGTACTTAGTTGTAATTCAGGAGAAGTTCGAGGTCTCTTTTGCAAAATCGCTAGCGCGCGCGGCATCCCCCCCCCCGTGGGCCGTCTCGCGCTACAGGCCGACCTCGCGAGGGCCGCACCGCGCGCTCGCGCGCGCGCTGCGTTGCGTGGGTCGCGCGTGTAAGTTGCGCGGGAGAATTCGTTTTTCTTTTTCATAAGGAATTAGAAATAGTTTTCTAATTTAATTTCTGAGCTGATCTTTGGCAATTAATATAAAATTATGTAGGTGTCAAAAATTGTGAAACAAATTTTGCTAGGTTCACAAAATTGTGCTCTATTTGTTGGTGTATTTAGTTCATATATATACTTGTTGATACCGGGAGCTATTAAATCGTTTGAGAATGCTTCATATTATTAAATTAATCATTATAGGATTTTGTGTGGTAAATTGGTGATAGCTTTAGTCCCGAAATTTTTATGGTAGCTTGATTGTATTATCATGTACTCACTGTAATTTTTGTAGCCTTAGGAAAGACTAAGCATTAGGGTAGTTAAATGCTCTTTGTTTCAATATACATTAAATCACTAGAAGAAATAAAGATAT